GTCTTATTTGTTTTATTTCGGCTAGAATAAAACAGTTTTTAATTAAATTTTTTTTTAAGTATTTTAGGGACAAAATTGCCCCTAATGCCTCTTATAGGCTATATTTTTATTCGATAGTCTACATAACAAAACACCGTTATACAATAACTTGCTTAATTACCCTAACCTGCCTAGTTAACCTAATTAAGTAAGCCTTTAAATGTCACTTTAAGCTATTTAGAAGAATATCTAGTCGAATATTATTTGCTGTCATCATAGCAAATATAAAATAAATCAGTCATTAGAGATTATTTATTAAAACTGTTATGTTTTGATATTTGTTGAAAAAAATCTTCACTCTAATAAACAGAAATTGGGAAAAAAATAAACTGGGGGGCTAATCATTCTGACTTATTTTGACTTAATTCTGACTTATTCTGACTTAATTCTGTACATACATACGTATATTCACAAATACAATCCTTCCACACATGTATATCTTTATGCATTCATGAATAAAAATATTAAATTAACCTCATCAAGAAAATAAATAAATTAAAAATAAAATGTAATGTAAGCATATTCCTGTAACAATGCATAACCTCTAGAAATATGTAAATGTTAAATTATAGATAATTATATTGTCGTTGTGGAGAAAGCTAGTCATTTACTCCATTTCTTTTCAAAGATCTCTATTTGTAATCAAAGTGCATGTGTCATTTTTTCCATTTCCTCAACTTCTGCTATTATTTTGAACCATTTATCTTTAGTTGGTGAGTCTTCTTTATACCATTTCCTAGTTATAACTTTTTTACTTGTTGCCAAAAATATCTTAAATAGATATTGATCCTCCTTTTCAAGTTTAATAAAAATATCTCCAAGATAAAGTACTTCAAATTATCTAGGAATATGTAGATCAAAAATATCTTTGATAGTTGAATGTAGTTTCCCAAAAATGTTAATTCTTGAGCACTGAATGGCTGATATTATAATACTATACTATTTTGCAAAAAAAAAAAAAGAAACCCCAAAATAAGTGCAACTGTTTTAATTGCTACCAAGCAAACTTATTGTAGCATTATAATTTACAGCATGAAATATGAATATTAAATACAGGATTTGCTTCTAGTTAAATGGTACAATGCTATTCCGTTATTAATGCTTTGTAAGTAAATTAATAATAATAATAACAATATGCACAACCAAATAATAAATTAAAATAAAACAAATAATTACATACTAGAGATACTAATAAATTAAGGCTGATAAACAATTGGCACACTTTATTATGTTATATTATATTACATTACATTACATTATATTATATTATATTATATTATATTATATTATATTATATTATATTATATTATATTATATTATATTATATTTAGGCAAAACATGTTCCAAATGATCAAATATGATAATAAAAAAAAAACTGTATATGTACAGGCAAAGCTTTTTTATCACAACAGAAATACCAGAAGTGTCAGCTTGGATAAGAGGGCTCCTTTAAGTTAAACCAATATGATATCATTTACATCAGTTACATGAAAAAGACCAGCCATGATTTTCCATATTTAATGTATATATTTTTTTCACTCAATAAAGATGACACTCTGGAACAACTTGAGAGAGAGTAAATGATGAAAGTCTGTTCATTATGAATGAAGATTCTATTAATTGATTAATTATGCTACTGTCACTTTGAGTGTTTATATTTCACACACTCCTCTCAGTGTTGAGCCAGTGTTTTGGCTGAAACAAGCGGGCTAGTAAAATGTCAGCACATAGTTTCCAAAAGTCCTGGCTGCTTTGTATGCTGTGAATGACTTTACCTCACGGCTGGTTAAAGAGAGGCACAGATGACTGCAGTTTTTGGAAGAAATCTTGATCTCACCAGTCTTCAAAACATCAGCCAGCTCCACATAGGCATCACAGTTTCCTAACAAACGTCCAGCTGGTGAAAATACACCTTTCATTCTGCTTCATCACCTCTTTTAATGGCTCACCACTGAAGCTGAAGTCATTCTCAGCCTCTAGTTTAATTCTTCAATAGGAGGTGAATACTGACATGTGACCGCTGTCTGGCAGCAGGATTGTGTCTGTTTGCTCTATTAGGTGTAAATGATTGGAAGTTCTGTTGTTTTTTGTCTGGAAGACATTAGCTTAGATTAATCATCTTCGTAACTCCTTATCTTTCTTGTACTATAAATGTTACTACTACTTTTAAAGCTCAATAAATAAACAGATAAATGCATAATACAAAGTTTCTAATAGAATTAATATTTTCTTATGTACTGTATCAAAGGTTTCAGAGTGATATAAAAGTGTTTATGAAAAATAAAATAAAATCTTATGCATATACAAAATCGGTTTTTATGTCATTAAAATATAGTAAAGTTTGTAGCACTATACAGTTTATACTGTTGCTTACACACTAAAATGTAACTTTTCCCACAACTAGCACAACCTTACACTCAGGGAGCAAAACACAAGGCTAGAATAGCTCATAGCTTCACACTTTTTGCAAAATATTACACACCGTGATTTACAAATCACTAAACACACTTGTTTATATTTAACAAAGAATTTTTCATGATGTAATTTCCTTGCCATTTTAAAGCAAAGGCTTTCAAATGAACACACACATGAGCCAATGGATTAAACACAGCCATCAGGTGTGCAGGCACACTGGTGCAAAACTGTAGACACACCAATCAGCTGGAACCACAATAAAAAGCAATACTATTAGTGTTCAATAAATATGTTTACAGTAATATAGTTAAAATATAAGTCTTCATTAAATGTTTACAGTAGTACATTTAAAAATATTAGTCTTTAATAAATGTTTACAGTAGTACAGTTAAAATATAAGTCTTCATTAAATGTTTACAGTAGTACAGTTAAAAATATTAGTCTTCAACAAATGTTTACAGTAGTACAGTTAAAATATTAGTCTTCAACAAATGTTTACAGTAGTACAGTTAAATTATTAGTCTTCAATAAATATAGAAGGCAATGTCCTAGTAAGAGGAAGAGAAAGCATGAAAGGCAGGAAGATTGATAAACAGGAGACAGGATGTATGAGATTTTTTTGCTATTGAAATGTAAACATCACTAGAAAGCTGAACAAATAAGCTTCATATTGTTGTATGGTTTGGTCGGATAGGGCAATATTTAGCTATCAGTCTATTAGTGTTTGGCAAATGTTTAGTATGTTCATGTACTTTATAGCAACACCTCTGACACAAATCAAGGCCAGATTATTTCAGTATCAGTCAGAAATAATAAAAGTGTTTAAGATTGATTAAAGCGGTGTGTAAATGAAGCAAACATTTATATTAAATGAAGTGTGTGTGTGTGTTCTGTACGGTGTCAAAATTGTGTTTTGTTATATTGTTGTAAAGTTGAATGAAGTGTTTCATTTACCAATTGTGTTCTGCTGTTTGCGTGTGTGGATGTGGAAACTGTGTGTAGTGTTTTGACATAATGAGCCTTAATTTCAAAATTGTGCTTAAGCAATCGTAAAAAAACGTAATACATGACATACAACATTATATGATAATAATTAAATTCAGCATCACATCATCCATTAAATCATTCTAATAATGGTTTGTATCTCAAGAAATGAGATGTTTTCATCATTCTTTATTGATAGCAAGTCTGCAAGCATTCATTTCGGTCAATAAAAAAATGTAAAAATCACAACGTTCTCTCACCAGTTTTGGATAAAACACAAACCCACAAGATTCAGTGTAATTTAGCGGCTATCAGAGGAGAAATGAAAGCTTCTGTTCTTCCTATCATTTTCCATCAACTCTGTTCATTCTCATTTTTGAATTGAACAAGCTTATTTCACAAAATTAGATCAAAAGATCAGAAAAAGCCCATACATAGCCATACTCCACAGATATCTGCCCATAGACATCAGGAAAGTGGACCAAAGTAAACAGAGACTGATTATAACAGAGGTAAAACTGGGAAATGTTTTATAAATCTACTTACATTATTAATATTAATACCAGAATTTATAATGCGTGCCTGAGTGTATTTGAATTGAAATCTTAAAACTGGTTTGAGGTAATTCTTGTCTGGTTCATGAGCACAATGAGCCGTATCCAGCAGTGTGCCAGTTTATGCAATGTTGGTTTGATAAATCTTGACCTTTCAAGTGTGTAGGTCATTCAGCAATAATATACAGCGACTAAGCGCTTCAATGTGGCCGAAGCCTTTTGATTTTTTTTTTTTTTTGTACATTTTTACAGATAGCTTCTCTTGGCTGAGAGCTGGATTTTGAAAGAGCCAAGAGTTTGTGTGTAATTGTGGTTTGCTGACTAAGTCTGAGGATAAAGCTGGAGAAATACCTCCTGACTATAAGCGGAAAATGCTGGCTCAGAGAAAGCAGAAACACAACAAAACGTGTGGACGGGTATTTACTGTCTGGTCCATGGTTGAGGTTTTACTGTAATTGTGACTGTTGTCATTCATTTGAGAAGTTCAAGCAGTAAATACAAATGAAAGCTGAAAAAATAACAGGCTGTCCCCTGCTGGCCATCAGAAGAAACTGAAAACTCATTGATAAAACGGCTTTCTCAAATGCATTTAAAGTATTGACCTAAAATCACTGTGCTTCATTTCTGATCTTAGCGTTGGATGAATTGTATCCTGCTTTGTACCTCACTGAATACATATTTCTTTTGATAATGTGCATTTTATTTAATAGTCACTGCGGTTTAGTGTTTCATCTAGCAACAATCAAAGGAAACCGAGCAACAGGGCTTTGATGTCTCTGTTTCTGAATTGTTCTCACTGTTAGTTTCTGAAAGGAAACTGACGAGGTTGCTGGTTCACTGGGAATTATTTCATGATGACTAACTCCAGACACAACCACTTCCCATTCATACAAAACATCCATGAGACACCAACACACATTGTGAAGGCTTTTAGATTTCCTGTTCTCTTCACACTTGCTTTTTTTGTTTTGTGCGTGTGTGTGTCTGTGTGTGTATGTATGACTACAGCTGATTGACACATTCTCAACGGAGATCTCAGAGTTGAAGCAGGAGATGGTTCAGCCAGCCAGAGAGCCGGAGACTGAAATCTTACAGGGGTGAGTTCAACTTTTATCAGTCATCTTCCTCCTCACTGGTGTTAAGGGGAATTTTAGGTTATGTTATATGATGATTTTTACAACAAAATTCTCTCTCAAATATATGATTTTAAAAGTTCACACATAGATATATCCAGCATTTATATTTCATGTTAATATTGTTATAGAAATATCAAAAATATGTTCTGTGTTGTAAATGGTAAACGACAGCAGATGTCGTGCCTCTTGCCGCTGATGTTTAGGACTGTGTGGATGAATCTGCTGGTTTGTTGTTGCAGTTCCCACGTTCTCCAGCAAGTGGAGCAAGTCTTATTTTTACATCACAGTTGCTTTTGCAATACTGCATTTCCATGAAATTAAAAGGAAGTGCAAGGAACAATAAATCCATCAAGGTGTTTCACAATAAACTTTCAGAAAAATTTGAAAACAACTCTAGTGCCAAAAAAGGCTTCAACCTCTAATCTGTTTGTTTTTCAGCTTTTGAAATTGGCTTTAGTCATGATGAGTTAATTATATTGCTAAAATTCATCAACAGCCCATGAGTAATTTAAAGGCATAGTGCGCCCAGAAATGAAAATGTGTAGTTAAATTACTCAGCTCTAGGTGTAGGGGGATTTTTATTTAGATAAGATAGATAGATAGATAGATAGATGGATGGATGGATGGATGGATGGATGGATGGATGGATGGATGGATGGATGGATGGATGGATGGATGGATGGATGGATAGATAGATAGATAGATAGATAGATAGATAGATAGATAGATAGATAGATAGATAGATAGATAGATAGATAGATAGATAGATGACGACGATGTTTCAGTTTAGTATTGCAACAAGGATTAAACTCCAGTTCATTTTAAAGCAAGAGAATAAAGCAGCAGTCTGATGAAATTAGGAATCATAAAGTCAGCTCAAAGATAATTTATTAACAGTTATTGATTACAATAATAAAATTAGCTGTTCTGCAAACTAAAATGTATTTTAAAGTTACCTTCCACCTGAAAATATTTGATAACCACAACTTCAGTCCAACACCAAGTGTTCTTTTTTTGTAATTTAGTTGTGAAATTAGGGTTTCCCTAATTTTTTTTTTGTCTTTGTATATATTTGTAGTCTGGAAGGAGAGGTGAGTGGTCTATTCCTGCAGTCGTCTGCCTGTGCTGGTGTGCCAGGAGTGAGGGATTCTGGATATGATTCATTACGCAGACGCATGAGCATGCTGGACAGACTGATGCAGACACACTCTGTATGGCTGCTGCTGTCACTCAGCGATGATGAAGCCAGACACATTCTGCAGCCGCAGCCGGCAGGGGTAAAAACATTTGCTGATTCGACAACCGACTTATTTAATAACTAGTTCTTTTAGTTACTATCTTTTTATAATCACCATATTTCTGTTCTCTCATTTGTGTCTGTGTTTGATTATAGAGTTTTGTGGTAAGGAGGTGTTATAAACTGCAGAAAAAGGTGATTTCCCTCCGGATGGACAGTGACACATTGATTGTTCGGGACTTTCCTGTTAAAGAGAGTCAATATAGTGAGTAAAATAGGGTAGTACTTCTATTTATTTACCACTGATAGTGTGTGTATCTGGTCACCTTTTCATTTCCTCTTGCCTGGAGTTTTTTTTTTTTTACCTGTGCACTTCCTGTGACTGTTAAAAATAGCCTTGCTTCTGATCAGAGCTGTTCAGGGTAATAAAATTGAGACATTAATTAATTAATTCGTTTTTGATTGATGTAGTGCAGGGGTGCCCAAACTTACTTCTTGTGGAGGGCCAAAAACCAAACTTCATTGAGTGTGGTGGGCCAAAAGCAAATATGCCAAACTCTATTGCATTAAATTTGACATGGGTTATTTAATATGCAATAATAACAATCATTCATTACATTGCAACAATATTAAACATTGCTTTATATTACCTAATGCATTTCAATTATTTCTTTTAATTTTTGTAATAAACTTATTACAGTTAAAAACAATCTTTTTTATAACAATCTATAGAGTTACCGTGATGTCACCCATATGTTTTTGAAGAAACCAAAAAAAGCTACAAATAGGCGTGGCCACCCGCTGCCATTTTGTTCACGCGTCATCACACCGACTGGGACACAGATGTCAAACTCAGTTCCAAAAGGGCCACAGCTCTGCACAGTTTAGTTCCAACCCTAATTAAACACACCTGATCAAACTAATTGAGTCCTTCAGGCTTGTTTGAAACCCACAGGTAGGTGTGTTGGAGCAGGGTTGGAACTAAACTGTGCAGGGCTTCGGCCCTCCAGAAATTGAGTTTGACACCCCTGGACTGGGGGATACCAAATAAGGGCAAAGAGGCGGAGCTACATACGCCTGCTAGCTTAGATGGGTTTTCTTTAAGAGAAAAGGTTAATACTTTATTACAAGCGACTTGTTTGTGTTCTAACTACATGTGCTTGGTTGTACACTATATCAATAAAGTGTTTAGATTTTTAAAAACACTTTTGTAATACTTTGAGCCACTAAGCACTGTTCTTACGACGTTTTCTACTAAAGGAAAATGCAAACAACTTCCAAATACTTCAAATATAGTTTGTGTTAGTAAATGCAAGGCTATTTATTAAATCCAGGCATAACACTGTATGACAACGTTTCACATGACTGTTCTAGAGCCTACAGCTAATCAATCTAACAGATTCTGGAGTGCTTTACAGGTCTAAAAAATATAAATGATTTTAAATAAAACAAATACATTTATAGAACTTCATAAAGCAAAACAAAAATATAATAAATATGCCAAGCTCAGCGACTATTCAGCTGGAATCCGCTGAGGTGACGTAACGGTGACCTGAGAGAGTGGCCACACCCTTAATTATACAGACTTAATAAAACTTAATGTAAACGAAACGGCTGAGAAAAAACTTCACCTCCCTCACAGTTGTCAGGAAGGGTAATATTAGCTATATGAACCAAAATTGTTCTTTGTACCAGGCTGTAAACACCTTTTTTCTGCTATAAAGTTGACCATTTTAACAGTGGTGTCATAGAAATGTGCTCTATTATGGAGACAGGACTAGCGGAATTTCGATGAATTGCAGTTTCAGTTACTTTCGTATTTTCTTTAGGAGAGAGTTACACTAATCAACCTGCTCCTGTTTTTGTCTTGATTTGCCTGCCGATGTTTTCTGCAATTTCCTCTATCTATCGAGTGATAGTATTTTTGTATTTTTTTAAAATCTAATTCATTATCTAATTCAGTTTGCTTTTTTGTAGCTCAGCAAGAAAACAAAAAAGTTACGTCAAATGAAAAATTACAATCTCTGTCAAAGATCCAGTCCTTTGTATCATTCTTCCTCTTTTCTCAGATGGGATGGTGGGCCAAATCAAAGGTTACCACGGGCCAATTTTGGCCAACAGGCCCTAGTTTGGGCATCTCTGATGTAGTGTTTTAATTTCAGTTATGCTTTTATTTCTGAGTGCTGTAGGAATGAATCTCAGTCCAATATATTTTTCTTGTTGTTTATTAATGCATTTATTAATGTTTATTTAGCATTTGAACATTTAATACGTAATGTAACAATGTAACATTTAGCAGCTGTCTCTTTTTGTTTTTAATTAGTGTTTTACAGTGATGCTGTTTTGATTGAACAAAATCCTGGTTGTTCCGCATTAGAGAGATTTAAAAGCTTGCAGACCCTATGCTTTTGCATCATAGGTTACATAAATAACTTCTGAAAAACAGATAATTAGCTAGCAAACAAACTGTTATAATTTTTTTTGCACTGTGGGCCTTATTCATGAAACCTTAGCAAAGCAAATGATTGAATTTGTATTGACTGAATGGTTTCATGGATAATTATGTTCTTCTAATGCTTCATGAATGAGGCCCAGTGAATCATATAAGTAGCTGTATTGTTAAGCTCCATTTGAGTCCATTTGAATATTGAATTCAGCTTTTTTTTTTTCTCTATTAACACGCTTTATTTCAGTCTGTCTGTCATCTCTATTTGTCACTGTAATACTAATGGATCAGATACTGTGTAGCTTGTGTGTAAATGTAGACATTTGGCTCTGTTTACCTTTACTTTTGAGAGAGACCGTTAGGTCATTCCACTTTTTCCAATTGCAAATTCAGTGTAACCTTCTGTTCTTGTGTTTGTCTTTGTTACAGCTTTTTCCCTGGAGGGCTCAGGAATCAGCTTTGCAGACCTCTTTCGTCTGGTGGCGTTCTGCTGTATCAGCAGGTAAGTTGATCTCGCTCTTAAAATGACAAAAACTCCTACAAAAGCACATCTTGTTTAGTTTCTACAACATTTACTGGTCTGTTTTGCATCTGAAAGAGATAAACAGAGGATATTATGTTTTGATGGTGTACATAGTATTCATTTATACGATTTTTGTCTTGAAGTCTAAACAGGTTTAGACTAAAACTAGCAAAACATTTATGTCAGACTACACAAACACAGCACATCTGCTCAACCAATGGCATCAGTTTGGGACAGTTTGTTTAGCCAGCTATTAGGAATGAAGGTCTTATTGTTTTTGCAATGCACAGAAATTATACCCTGCACTTTCTAGGTAGCCTCCTGAAGTTCTGAGAATAACCCAGAATGTATGTGGTAAAGTAAAACCAGATGAAGTTGATTCAGTTGCATTCCAGTGCTGAAGACCAACACGGATAATAACCGGAAGGAAGGGTCGAACTGGCCTCTTGTTGCTCAAAAACAAAATTTAGTCAAAGCTATTTTTCATGCATTGTTTACATAGTAGTGCGTACAAATGTACTCACCTTTAAGTGGTTGCAAACCTTTATGAGTTTGTTTCTACTGTTAAACACCAAAGAAGATATTTTAAAGAATGCTGAAAACCTATAAATATTCTTCAAAATATATTACTTTGTGTTTAACAGAGGAAAAAACACTCATAAAGGTTTGAAAAAAGTAAAATAATTTCATTTTTGGGTGAACTATCCCTTTAATAAACCAATGACCAGCCCTGTCCCACTGTCATGCAGAAAAGTCAGTGGATAAACACAACCCTCTGTCTGCCAAACTCACCCACAGGCTCAGTTTAACAGCCGTTTCACTCTCTCTCTCTCTTTCTCTGACTCATTCTTTCTCTCACTCTCAACCAAGAGTGCAGACAGCGACTCTCAGCCCAGATATTCTTTAGCTTTTAATATTTGTAATCAGTCGGACATTCTTTTAAGGCATGTTTGTGCTGTTTTTTGCTCTTATCAACGTTCATTTGTCTTCTTTAGAGACGTTCTGCCCTTCACCCTGAAGCTTCCTGAAGCTATTGCGTCTGCAAAGACCCCAACAGATCTAGAGGAAGTGGCTAAGTTGGGAAAAGGTGAGGTTTTTTCCTCTATGCATGAATGTTTGTTTTACTGAGTTAAACTGCTGGCTGTTGAGTTTCAGCATTACTCAGAGAGCATAACCAATACTCTCATGACCCTTGATTTTTTATGTGTGAATCATATGATTGGTTATAATGCTGTGTGTATTGTAAACCTAGATTGGTCAGCATTTTAATGGTGTCAGTATTGCAAAGTTTAGTTGTTGTTGATTACTCAGCAGTTTTATTTGGTTAAAGTAAAGCTTTTATGTTAGCTTTTTGTTTACAACAAGTAACCACCAATACACACATACAAACTGTTGCTAATTTTCACAGTTTATTGCCAATTCCTGTTGCGTATACACACATTATTTAGTCATTTACTAAAGTGACAAATGCATCCTTCAGCCTGATTTAAATCTAAAAACTGCATGTTTTGACAACATTAACAAAACCAAACAGGCAACTTGTCGTGTCTCTCCTCTCTATATTTAATGCAAAAAATAGTCACAGGAAATGAGGTATGCCGTGACTCATTAATGTTGCTAGATCTTGCCTACTACATTAACTACAAAATCCTGATAACATTTTGAGCCAAGCCTAAATATGCTAAATTACAGCATTAAATTATTATCACTTATAATAAGAAGACAAGGCATCATTTAAAAAAAAAAAAAACTTTGCTACTGTTGGTTTAATTAAAAATCATTGACTGTCATAATAAGTCTTTGCTGCTATTATATAATTTCTGTAAAATATAGGAGATACCAAACATGCGGGATGGTGTTATGGGTACAATGAATGATGCCAGACATTGCAAGTTTGGCAGTGAGTTCTGCTTTGTACATAGCCAAAGTGTGAGGAACCAAATTTGATTTATTTAAAAATAAGAACGGTCAAACAGGTTGAAATCTCAATAAAATCTGATTGGTAATCCACAATGAGTAATCTGAAAAAAAAATTGAGAGGGCAGGCAAGCAATCACAAAACACAAGACAGTCCAGGATACACAAACCAGGCTAGGCAAACAGCAAGATAAAAAGGAAACCAGAAAATGCTCAGAAATGTCTGCAACATGGAAACATGACTTCACTCTGTGTGAATTTTTATCCTAAAGTCAATCTAATGTGGAACAGGTGAACGGTGATGTGCAACAGCTGTAATGAAGTGATTGGTGCAAAAGATTATGCCACAGTCCCACTAGACTTTGAGCTTGCAAAATTCTGTTGTCCGGCACTGGGAAAAGGGGCGGGATTAAACAAGATGATTAGACATTTAAAAAAGCAAGCGATTGGTCCATATTTAAAATTTCTGTGCAGAGAGGTCATGTTTTGATCTTGTTTGGTCTCAAGCAGTCAAGTGATGCGATTGATTGAACTGTGAAACTTGTCGCATGAGCTTGTGATCCCGGTCTGACGCATTCGCGTTCCTATGAATGGAGGTCTATGGGGAGAAAAGTCCTGTGTGACCGCAGCTTCATACGCAGTGTAGTGATGAGGTCCCCTCAAGTGTAGCTCTTGGGGACTCCAGCTGGTGACCATGACAGATTCACTCTTATTTTATTCATATTTAAACTTCTGGAAGTCCTAAAAACAGTGTGTTCTAAGTCTTTGAAACGTAAAACAAAAAAACACTCTGCATATGCCTTCAGAAGTAGTGCCCACATTAAAATTCTAAAATCCATAAACAACATCTTGATGTAAATTATTTTAATAATATGGACAATATGTAATATTAAAAATAACAAATTATTTAACAATAAACTGTAATGAGTCTTTCTAAATTTTATAATAATGTTTTTAAATGCAATTCATGCAGGCTATACAGTATGAAAACAGCATATACAACATTTACAGTAGTAATTACTATGCTAATATTATTAGCGTAATAATATTAATAAGTTAGGTACATGCCTTCATATGAAATCTAAATGTAACAATTTTGTACTGAAGTGACCAACTGTGAAAACATTTTAAACAGCCCATTAAAATCAACATAAATGTGCACGTTTTTATGTTTTAACCCAGAAACCCACAGGCTGTAAGTATACATGCTGATTGTGAAATGTGTCAACATCCAGCATATCATAAAGAACATCAGTCTTTTATATCCTGGGGTCCGTTCTTCGTACGTGGATTACTCAGTTAGCTGGATTTGGATATTGACGATTTGACACGATCCAGGATCGTTTCGTTCTTCAAAGCTGATCCGAGAGTTGTTGTCATGGCAACAGATCTGCTAGGTCAAACCTGATCGGGAGCAGGTTCAAATCATATAAACAGGATTAGATCGGCTCAGTTCAAGCAAAGATAATACAGAAAGTATGTACCGAGTTCTGATATTTTCTTACAGTAAAAATTATATACACTTGGGAAAATAGTAAATATTTTTTAACTATATATATAAAGTTATAGTCATTAATAAAATAAAGTTATACATATTAATAAAACGTATGCAATCTGCACCCTTGAAATGAAAATAGAAAGACTGCCACCTGGTGGTGCAAAGAGAAAACTTATTGATATGAACTTTTTAGATCGCTTTAGTACAAATTGTGTATAATAGAAATGCACAATATGTGACTTTTTTTTAAAAGCAATAATACATTTCAGCAGTCATAAACATGTTTTGATAGTTAATATGCCAGTGATGCTTCACAAAAGTTGCAGACGCCTTTACCAATATCAAAATGCCTTTGGAAACAACCAGTTATTCTTTACACCGATTAAAAAATGGTTACTGTAATAAAGAAAATCTTTTCTAAATGAAGAACTAAATACATTGATTTGCATTGAAATACATGATGAATACTCTTGTCTTGACAAATGAAAGTGTAAAGCCTGCAGCTCAATACAAATGTGAAGTTACTGCGTGTCATATTTAACAAGCCGTTTACTGCTAATTTGATGTAATTTTGCTCACATGGATAATAGAATATTAATCAGATGATGTCATTGCGCTGCTGTGCCGTCAGCCAATCGTTGCATTGCTGATCATGATTTCTAGGATCGATAGATCTGTCCTTAACAACAAACGCAGCAATCTCAGATCAGTTCATCCAGATATTCTAATCTGATTCGCGAACTTGTTTGGAGAACCAAATTAGCGAGAGATCAGTTATCAAGATTAAAAGATCCAGGATCTGCCAAATCATCTTAGATCATTTAAGCGAGGTACGAAGAACGGACCCCTGGAGCATTGACTATACAGATGTTACTGTGCCAGCAAACACACAACAACATCCGACACGTGGCATTTGAGAAACAACTCATGTGGCCAACATATGTATATTATGATTCGTTCGCTAGGTGAAATCAACCGCAGATGTGTTTGACGTTAGTAAATGTCTCTCTCTAATAGAGATCTGTCTGTGTTCTTTGTGTCTGATTCAGGTCACATGCTGTAACTTTGCACTTTACTTGACGCATGTATATGACATACGACATTCGTCACATCTTAAAAACAAGAATTGCGGTTTAGGTCTGTGAGCAAACATTATGAGGTTCTTTACAAAAGAAGATCATCTATGTGCGTTTATTGTATTTATATGGTTTATTACATGGTATATCGTCACCTTGGAATTATAAGATTCTATCTGCGTTCTGAGTGATTTCGAGATATTGAGCTTATTGCATTCCATATTGCAAATAATATGTGTGTAACAGTTCTTTTCCATACATTCACATGACAGAGACCCTAAATGTAAACTGTCAAAGTTTTCTTACATTTGCAAATTGGAGTAAAAAACAACAACGGTAAATGCAGATAGAACCTTCTAATTCTGAAAAGTCATTTTATAAGTTATAAGGTTTTTTCTGGCAGACCATTAATTGAAGGATTACTTTTCAAGGAATACAATCAAAAAATATATAATTTGGTGCTGTAACAATATGTTGAAGTAAAGTTTTTGCTTTCTATAACATTTTTTTATGATGAATATTTTTTGTTCAAATTTAGCATATAAGGCTGTGCTAAATATTTTGTCCAGTGCAGATGATAATTTTATCTAATTAATATGATATTATTTATTTACTGAATTTTATGCTTTATATAAATTATTATTGAATTATATTTAATGAATTATATGCCCCTTGAATTAAATTAAGTATTTGCCCTTCAAGGCTTAATATTAGATTTAAAAACTTTAAAAGAAAACAGACAATAAACAGATGAGTTTATTAAACACTGAAAAATGTTTTCCTGACTATATACACACACAAATAAAAATATTTCACATTTAATCTAGAAATTTTATAAACAATGTAGAATTTAACATTTCTTCTCAATGTCAAAAAATGCTTCTAAATCTTCACATTTACACACATCTCAATTTTGTGTGGTGATTTTTGTCTTTCTGGTCTTTCCCGCTGTCAATGGAGCAATTCGGAGAAATCACAAAGAAAGCTGATCCTGATTGGTCCTTGACAAAAATTACAGATAGAACCTTATAATTCTAAGGTGACGATATGGTAATTATATGGTTGAATGATTTGATTTAGGGTCAACAGCTATTATTGTAACAATGTAGATTTTTTTTTAAAATCATAATCCAAATCTTAAACCCGTGTGTAACTTATTTAGAGTTACATGAGTGAAATAATATAAGCCTGAAACAGGTTGAAATCACACACCTGAAATCTTATAGGGGATCAGATTTCTTTGACAAACCAAGCATTTTGAACAGATAGGTGAGTCAGTTTGTGAGTCCTTCCAGGTAAGGTATTATTTCTTCTAGAGAATGCCACCTGTAATAATGCGGTTTGGCAGTAATGAATGCTGAAACAGAGTAAAGCTGAGAGCAGTTAAGGGTGTGGTACCTTCATACTAGGATCCTTTCCAAAAGGAACTCCACCAAGTCCAAATTCCAGCTGCTCATTGACTGTCTATAATGACTGGGATAGTGGGGGTGAACTGAGGACAAGAGAAGAGCTGAGAATGAGAGCAAAACAAAGACGACACAACATAATGGTAGCATTTTAAGAATGTTTACATAGAGTGTGAGAAAAGAAGAAACAGAGAAGATGAAAGAAAAGTACAGTTGTTTACACAGCTGCAGATTTCCAGTTATTCCACTCCTGCACAGATATCACTTTAGCAGACCTGAGCCGAGTGACGTTAAGGCTTCCCGCTCTTGTCTCAGATGTCATCGTTGAGATGACTGAGAATGATAAAGAGAAAGAAAAAGACAGATCAGATTTCATGTGACACCTATATTTCTGTTGAAGGTTTTCAGGCTCTTTAAGTTTGCCATTGCAACACTTTTTTAGTTAATGTCACCTCAGGATAAATCACTTGAACAGACTTGAGTTTTCTAAACAAGTAAATTTTTTGTGGGGAGGAAATGCAAGCAAATTTTTTTCAGCTCATTTATTAAATTTTTCTTTAAATATGTTGTTCCAATTTTTCTTTAATCAGATACGTTCTCTGTATCGTTACACTTAAGATACTCATCCAACCATTCTGTTACACGATGAGAACAATGAGGATCAAAGAGTAATGATTGAAACACCAGCTATAGATGGGCTTAATTTCAAAAAGTGCAGGGCCATTTCTCTTGACCTTTTTGAAATTAAGCCCATCTTAATTCTGAGATTATTCTGTTGTGGTGCTTAATTGTAGTTACAAATGAAGCAACCTTGTAGTCGACCAGGAAGAAATCTATTCTGGAATATGAGCGATAAACGTTAGCATAAAATGTATATTATTATATGTATATCAGTCAGTTGATTCTCAAATTAAAAAAAAAAAAAAAAATTGTCAAATGTTTAACATTTTAAACTTAAAAATATGTAAAGTGTTGCATCATCTCTTCATCCATGTTTTTATTCAGAAAATATTTCATGGAAAATGCTTTTAAAAAGTGTCTCCTGGAAAAGGTTTTAAATATTTATCTCTAATTAAATTTAACAATCTTATATGACTTTTTATCATCTTTGTTTTTGTATGATGCTATAATACATAAATATGTATTGAATGTTTATTACCAATGCTGCCATGCATATAGTTAATGCTGCTGAAATGGCATTTAAACATAAATAATGTAAATAAACTTATTACCTTTAAATATGTTACAATTCATGAGTAAATTAATTAGCTCATTATTCTAATGTTGTACATCATCCCATGATTTTCCTTTGTTTAAAAAAATATATATTTTAAATCTGCAATTCTAACATTGATTCCTAAATACTGAAACTAGATTAAAACACAAGTGTCAATTTCCTGAAAATGCAAGATTGTGCAAGCGAAACAAAGAGGAATCGTTCTCTTGAATCGCATCAAAAGAAAACATTTGAAGTGGGCAGCCTTTAACATGAGCGAGTGCGTAATAAGAGAGGAGGAACAGAGAGCTGCAGTGCCTGAGCTCCTCCCACCTTTTCATCAGCATGCTTGACTGTGTGTGTGTGTGTGTGTCAGCACTACTCTACCACTCACAACTCAGACAGCGGATATACGGCATTAAGTGTAGACGTGTACACTTATGCTCAAACTATTTACATAGATTCTGAAGAGAAAGCTTTATGATAAGCAGCGTAAGTTTAATTCTTTTTTCTTGTCTAACTCTTTTTGTCGATTCTGCACTTTAAACCTTAGTTTCTGTCATGGAATTTTGTGGCTTTGTGTTTGCGCCCACTCGATTGTGTCATTCCATTCTATATGCCAGAGCTTGGATTTGTAGGATAAGCCTTTCAGAAATATTTTCTGAAGTCAAACACTTAATATTGTGGCTTAAAATCCTCCGTAATGACTTCCTCTTTTATTTTTTTGTTCTATAATACTTTTCTGCTGCTGTTGAATGTGTTTTTTGTTCCTCAAATTCATAAAAGTCTTCATGTCTTAACTTGTGTTTATCTTGTGTAGGTTTTTGGGACTCGGAACTGTGCAATAAGAACAAGTCTTCTGTGTCTGGGGAAACTGCTTGTGATGGTTCAAAACAGAGACTAAAAAGAAGTCCAGCCGTCCCGTTTACCCGGACCCCTTCTGAACTTGAATGCAGCCAATCCAACGGTGCACTTTGCTTCATCAATCCCCTCTTCCTGCAGACACACCAATCTAACCCTTCACCCAAAAAGCAAGAACCATCCCCAGGTGACGAAGGTGGTGGCTCTCAGCACCACCACAGAGCTCTGCACAGAACAGGTCAGCAGCAAGGGGACAGCAGCGTATTCTGCCGTAAAACACCAAGCAAACCCCACATAAGTGTGAGCAGATCTGAGAGCGAGAGATCACCGCCGCCTAGGCCTCCACCTCCACGTTTTGGTTCCAGCAGATCAGCAGTTCTTCGCAAACAGAAGACCATGCCTGAAACAGTTTGTTGGATCAAAACACCTCAGGAAAAGACCAGCCTGCTGGGGAGATTGGGATCATCCTTCATTTCCTTATCTCCCTCATCCTCCCCACCGAAAAAGTTCAGCAAACCCATCCTGGTGCCCTCGGCCCGCAATAAGAACTCCTCCGGTCTGCTTGATGCGGACGGTATCCGATGCCACATGGCTTTGGATGATCAAACCATTGAGGATGCAGTGTCTTGGAGTCTGGCCAAGCTATCCTCTCGTAACCCCACTGCCATGGAGAATGGCAGCCCCGCGCATGAGCACTGCTCCACCGGGCGAGAGCGTCTGAGCGACATCAGCATCTCCACCTCGTCTTCAGACTCTCTTGACTTCTCCCACAGCTTTCCACTCCCCATGGAGGCCAGTCCCTCCAAAACGGACCGTCCCACTGGCGACAGCAGCCAAGAAGAGGAAGAAGATGATGGTATCAATTTGGAGAGTGATCAAGAGGTGCCTTCACCTTTTAAATCAAAGAAGCAGAACAGCGCAGGGACATTTGTGTTGCCGCGAGCACTGAGAGGACAGTTGCGCAAGATGAGCGACGTTCTCAATTCTCTGATGACGCCCGAAAGGAGAGCCATTCGGAAGATCGTTGAGCAGTCTAGGGATAAAGGCACTTACTTTGGCTGCCTCGTGCAGGACTACGTGAGTTTCCTGCAGGAGAACCGGGGATGCCACACATCAGGCTTGGAACTGCTTCAGACACTCAGACAGTTCATGACCCAGATGAAGTCCTACTTGTTGCAGAGCTCAGAGCTTGACCCACCCATTGAGTCGCTTATCCCGGAGGATCAAATCGGTAAGGCTTCCTTCCTTCAATACTAAACGTTTCATGCAAGGAGTAATTGAACTGATTGCTCTGGTGCAAATAAATATACAAAGGAAATAGGGTTGTTATGCAGTATAGATCGCCTTTATGATAAATCTTGATTATTGTTTTGGTGATGTACAACCAGACATAGAGTTCAGGAATTTAGACCATATGTACACTTTCAGTCTAAAGTTGTTTTGCGGAAAGGCAAATAGTGACTAAATGAATAAAGTTCCAGCGAACAGTGGTGTGATTTCTGAATGCTGGCATTACGTCATTATTGCAGTGATACCTTTGGCCTGTTTACAAAGTAATACATTAAGACCTTGCAAATACATTTCCTCTTCCAAATCCACAAGGTGTATTAGGTTAGTGCCTGTACTGTTGGTGCTTATAACAGCGCATGTTCTGTATGTTTATGCTCTGTGGTCTTAAAAGACAAATAGGATGCCCTGCAATCTCATTAACTTCACAATCATGCAGCTGCATGCCATGACCAGGCTAAACGTATTCATCACTTAATTGACATTGACTAAATGACCATTTCAGTGTTAATTAACTTAGTCTAAAGAATGAGGGTGAAAGCAAATATTTTTTCCACTGATGACTGGCACTTTTTGACATTTTTAGTGCAGTGGTGGGTAATGTGCAGGAATAATAACTAATAATATAGGGTTGTCAAATTAATCGTTTCTTTGGTGCACCGCGATGCGGATGCAGACAATTCAGTATCTTTTTAGTAATTGATGCTAACCCGTTATTACATACTAACGTCATTTATCTCATAAGTGCTATATTATGGTAGCTTACAATGGCAAGAGAGGTAAGGAGAGCGCTCCCTGCTGCCTTTTTTACAGCGTCATTCATTGGTGAACAGCGCCATCACATTAGAGCCAATCGCAGCCTTTTCTGTTGAGCATGTGGCCAATCATAGGGGTGTAAGAACTCATTTGACAACGCTCAAAAAGTGAGCAGAATTATATTTACGTTTGTTTATTTGCTGTAAATGCTCATGTTGTTCTGTGCATGTACTTGAGTTTTAAAGGTACAGTTCAAATATCTGACTGCTTGTATTAGAGGACAAAATTGTATTACAAATAATAAATGAATCTAAATATATTTATACATTTTTAGACAAGAATTGTTGTGCTGTGAAGTAAAATATAAATTTGTGTATGGAAAGCATCATCAATGTACAGAAATATCGAATTGAACCAAATCGATGACATGATAATCGTAACCATACCGAACTATGAGACCAGTGTAGGTTCACACCTCTATAATGATAGATCTCATGTTGCACCTTAGGATTTTCAGTGTGTTCATACATTGATATGCATGAAGTTCCTTCGTGCAGGGGTTTTCAATCTTAGATGTTATGGATGTTAAAATATGGTTATCCTTGCGGGAGGAATCCCTATCTTATAGTGTAAAAGTTATCTTTATAGTTTTTTGCATAATGACAAAATGTATAGTCTTATTTTGGGAACTCTGGTCTAAATGACCCTTTTTTCTGAGCAGAAGGCAAAAAATAGTCTTTGCGTGTGGCTCTTTAAATGCAAATGAACTGCTGCACTTAGGCACCTTTCATGAAGAGAACTGTGCATTTAAAGCTCATGACTAATACTATGGCAACAACACAAAAAAGACATGTGTGTTTCAAAGTCTTGCCAGATTAAACTCCTGACATTGGATTTTTCTGAATGCACAGGCACTAAAGTGCACACACAGGAAGCTGACTGTCAAATGGTGCATCTCTTGAGTTTTCAATAAAGCTATAGTTTATTACATAAATCAATCAAGATTCAAAGCACACTTTATGTGCACATTTAACACAATTAACAACATTTCCTTTTAAGATGGATATGCAGTTTGTTTCAAAATAATATTATAAAAGCATAATTTGAAATATAATGATTTTGTTACATTTTTCCTAATTTTTATCACTTTATTTTAATCAAATTATTATTAACTATTTTGATCGAATGCATTTTGTTTTTTTGCAGATACGTTTATTTTTTACATTTGTATATTTTATAAAATGTGAGTTGTTTATTTGATATTTATAATTGTAAATTTGTGTGTTTTTTTTATGTCATGCTTTATCTCCAAGCACTTCCATGGACACCCCTGGTTTAAGTGAACCCTTAGGAATTGTCAGTTGTGCATCAGAATGTAGCTGTACTGTAGGTTGGAAATGTGACTTAAAGAGTGATTCAAGGCTGTTTTGTTGTTATCAGACTATGAAAGAGAGTGACTGAAATTTGCTTGACAGACTGTTTACATTCTGAAACCTTCCAGTAAAATGAGGCACCACTCTGTCTCCATTGCCACAGATTTACAAGGACCCTGCAGTCCACTGTGCATGACACAAACAAAATGATCTAGCTTAGGGCTGTGCGATATAGGCAAAAGAAACCATCACGATTTTCTTGAACAATATAGTGAATTTGATTCCAATCACGTTTTTGACAGACATTTTACAGTGTGAATCTGAAACATATTTCCAAAGAAAAATAATTAGATCTTTATTAAAGACTGTAACATGTCTCTAAAACAGACACGAGGCAAAAAAAATCTAGAAAAGGTGTATCAAATTTTCTCTAGAACAGACCTATGGCAAAACAATTAAATAAGCTAGTGTGTGTGTGCCATCAACCTCAAGTAAGGCTCCGATGTTCTGCTTGACCACATATCAGAAGCCGCTGCATGTACTTTTCTACGTGTCCACAGATTTTTTTGCCAGCCATTGTGACATAAAAATTGTGCTGATAACGATTTGTTCAAATAACGATTTCGATATGATTTCAATTAATCGCACAGCCCTAATCTAGCTTCAGAATGGGACAATTTAAATACTATATTTTTCAATCACAGGAGATTTCAATGATATGATACAGTGGGTTATGCTGTTAAGGCTATAATCTTTTCATTTTGCTATGTGTTGGTGGAAAATACTGAAGGCACAACTTTGGTCTGTTTTTCATTATGTGCAGTGGTTATAGCCCTTTAACCCTCAAAGACCCATTGCAGCAAATTACAACCGAATGTTTCACAGAAAACATGGCAGGGCAAAATTCATACACATACAGTGAAAACAACATGATTGCTTGGGTGTCTGAGGGTTAAACCTGTGAGCGTGTGTGCTTGAGGCAAAAGCTCATGTTTGTTCATCTCAGCCTGAAGGCATTTTACTCAGCGTGAGCGGCACACACTAGGCACATTGAGTTGAGATATACACTGGCATATTCATATGTGGGCAGAGAATTATTAGTATGGCTTTTGTATAACTGGCCGCACGCCTTTCACTGTCAGCAACGAGCAGTTATAGACTTAATACAATGACATGCTAGTGGCTAGTTCATCCAGAAAAGACAACTCTGTAATTATGTGCTCACCCTCTACCTTTTTCCAAACCTGAGTTTCTTTCATCTGTTGAACACAAAAGAACACATTTTGAAGAATATTAAAAATGGTAGCTTTTTTTATTAGTAGTAATATAAGTAACAGGGAATACATACAACATTAATTTGTGCTAATATTGTGTGACCTGAATGCAAATGATACTTATTTATTGTACATCGAGTAACACAAATAATACAAGGGATAAGGAAAAAAACAATGCATGAGAGAAAAACAAATATTTAAAGAAAACAAATAAAAAAATTAAAATATATATCTAAAGAAATATACGATAAACATCTCAAACTATACCTTATTATTAAGAATGTTACATAGGTGTGAACCAAAAGATCTAATAACTTAAAGGTGCTGATAATAATAATGTTGTTTTTTTCAGCAGTTCAGTTGTTTTAGCAGCTTTCTTATTTTGTGATAGGCCGACAGATTCATAATAAAGTCAATACAAAATGTTTTAAAATTAGGCAAACACTGAATAACTCTACATTTGTGAAGATGGAAAAGGCCACAGAGAGTTAAAAATTTTTAACACATTGTATATTTCCCTACAATCTGACTCCCTGATCAAAAACAATACATGAATTGTAAAATCAAAAAGTTGTTTTTGTTTTGTAAGCTGAGAAGACAAGCCAAGATATTTTTGTCCAACATTTTAATACAAAATTGCATTGTAAAAATGAATGCGCTATTGTTCCCAGATTAGAATTACAGAATGTGCAATGCAAAGATAAAAACTAGTAGCTATTGGCTTACATATATATTTTTTTCTTACTATGGATGACAATGGCGACCAGTTTTCAACATTCTTCAAAACATTTACTTTTGTGTTTATCAGAAAAAAACGTCAAGTCTTAAATCACAACTCTAAAATAGGCTTATTTTTAAAGTCACCTAGAGTGTTGAGTTAAAAAGTTAAAAAGTTGCGTTTCATATTTTTTTAATCCATTCAGCCAATGAAGCCAGACTTTAACGGGAGCATTAGCTTAGCTTAACATAATAGTTACATTGTGTACTAAGGCCTGTGGAAAATAAAGACATATGAAGATAGCAAGTTTTCATCTTCCGTCAGTTTTACTACATAATGTAATTACTGAGTAATTAAAAGTCAAGCTTTAAATAGGAAAATAGAAGAAAATCACTTTGCTAATGGTCTAATTAGATGTATGCTAAGCTAAGCTAAAAGGTTTCCCACAAGACTTGAATATTGAACCACATTAAGAAAGACCATATTTTATAAATATATTTGTACATTTCTTACTGTAAATATATACCTAATTTTAAATTAGCATAATTATCTAAATAAGCACTTCAATTGTACAAATTTAAGGAGGGTTTTTTTCAATATTTTATTTTATCTCCTTCATTTGAAGAGCTTTCCACAGGAGCTCCGCCTGTTTACCGACCTGTCCAGTATCCTCTCTCTTCCAGCAAAGATGACCTTATAAACACATTTACAAATCTGCTCAGCCTGTTTGTGACAGTTATGTTTGGCCAAAGTCAGACCAATACAACAACGTGGTGCAATGCACGATGATCGGCCGTGTTTTAGATGTGTATCTGATGAGTCA